TAGCACGACGACACCTGTCCTCCCCCGCCGCCTCCACTGCCCATGGCGGTGGTTTTTCTCGGCTTGGCCATTTTTTAGCTGGTTTAGGCCGGTTTCAACTTGTTGTACGGAAAGCTGCGAAAAATCAAGTTAGGGGATTTCTGCTGGCCGAAAAAGAGGAAAACCGAAACCCTACAGATGGAAGGGTCTCCGAGTGCGACAGCTCCGCCATTCCTCCTCCGCGGTTGGGTTTTTCCTTTGGCTAACCTGCACCAGAAGAGGACAAAGAACAAAACAGTCAGAAAATTAAGGGGAACGAGAAACAGGAAAGGGGTCATTAGAGAGGTTTTTGAGTTGCGGCTGCGGCGGTTCAGCCGAGCTCTACTCGTATTTTTTGGCTCACTTGCTGCCGTTTATACTCTGATATGGGTGTGGGAAGGCTTGAAATTCAATTCCGAGTGGAAAAAGAAAATTTTTACCTCTTTCGGGGTCTGTGGTGGCTTCGGTGTGGTGGCAACGGTGTCCTTCCGGCAGCTGGTCTTCCTTCTAACCACCCTCATTCTTCTTCTTCGGTCGGGGTTGTCGGCTAGAGTTTTGGGGGCTGACTGAATTCCCTATGATCTTAACTGCTCGTTCGCATCGACGTAGAGCGAGGAGAACCATCTGATCGTTGTTTGTTTAGGCCGATCACATGTGCGAATTTGAGCTGTCTGTCGTGATCAATCTCATCCGTCTAATCACATCTGAAGAGAGAACGCATTTGGACCGTCCGTGTGTACGAGATGTGATCTGGGCCGTCGGATCGCTCAGGCATGCAGATCACCCACTTGGCTCCCGCGTGGAGCCGATGTCAGCGTGTCCGCCATGCGACACGTTTTGACTTGTCGTGCTTCTGACGTGGCCATCTCACGAGCTGATATTTCTCCTTTTTGCGATTTTACCTTATGTTTTAAATTTCTCTTTCGAAAACATCCCCCCTTATTCATAGTTTTACCCATTTTCTTAAAATTATTTTTAATTTCATCTTTAAATCTATTTTTTCTCGAAAATTTTATAAAAAATAAAATAAAATAAAAATTAAATTATTTTAATATATTATTTTATTAATGTAAAATTATCCCGGGTCAAATTTTTGAATCCGAGTGTTACAATAATCTTTTGATTTTTGCACTATAAAAAGTTTTCTAGTGATTCAAGTCAATAAAAAACGCTAGATCAAGGTGGGTGGCATGGAAATGTTATAGTTAGTGCAATAAAGAAGAGACGTTTAATGTTATTATAATGAAATTAAATTCTGTAACTTATTAATTGTAATAATTAAGAATAATAATAAAGTTATTTTTAAATAAAATTGCTAGTAACAAGATATATTTGTATCTTGAATTATTTATTCTTCCAAATAATAAATTAATATATATTTTTTATAACTAATCATAAATTTAAGTCCAACTATGATTAAATTATATGTTTGTAGCACAAATCATGCATCGTTCTTAAATGCAAAAAAAAAAAAAAAAAAAAAAAAAAAAAAAAAAGGTCAAAATCTGTGAAGCATTTAAGGGCATATATTTGTGTGCATTAGGAAAGAAACACTTGGGTGTTATGTGCTTTAATCGCTTACCAAGATTAGTTAGCAATTTTAGGATGAACTGTCTGCAAGATTAGCATTGTAAAGGTATAAAATTATATTATTTTGCATTAGATGTATAAATAGTAATTATAACTGGATCAGATTGTATAAATATAGAATATAAATATAATAAATAATAAAGTAGCTACTTATTGAAATTATTATGATCTACAATGAACTTAAGTGGGATGAGTTGGTTATGTTTTACCTAAAAAATTATAATAATTTTTTAAAAAATTGACTATTGATAAAAATAAATAATAAATATAAAAATTAGAGAGAACTTACTCAATATATTAAATTTTTTTAAAAAAAATATTTACATTACACGTAATTTATTAAATTTTTATATCATAATATGTTAGTAGGTACAATAATAAATTTATATCACATATAAAAGCTTCAATTACAAGACATCTAAAGTTGTAATAATTATAAATATCAATTAAATTACAAATTAGACACTAGAGAGCATTGCTGGTTTGCTTGAGCCCAAAAATGTTCTATTTTATGTATTGAATTGGTACATATTTTAAATTCTTTTTATCTTGAAGCTTGATGAAGTTAAGTGAATAAAAGAAAATTAAGTATC